AGGCAAGCAAACAAACTAACAACCCAGCACTCAGGATAGTAGCTAGCAAATGCCTCAAACGGGAATGCTCCTGGTTCAGCAAGGCAGTTGCCTCTGCAAACACGTATTCAGCTCCCAAAGGATGAGGGATAAAGATCACTGCCCAGGATCACATTGACTGGCAGAGGTCAAAGGTTTCCTTCTCCTCCTTATCTGAGGGAATGCAATTATGAAAAGCGGGTCAACAGGGTTCTTGAAAAGACCTGTACGGGAGATAACATTTATATAATTGAGTGCTTCTTCAGTTCTATCATGAGAATGTAAATGATTCGCTGTGAATCTAATTAATGTCTGCCTTCATCAAGGAAGCAGGCGTGCAGAGAAGCTGTTGATTTTTAGAATTGTTTTGCTCTGCAGGCATCATTACTGTCCCGAGTCCATCGGTTGGATGCTCTACGGATCTGCCATGCTTCTGCTATGGTCTAGGTGACCCCACCACCCTGCAGTGCCTTGGTGTGCTGTCTTCCAAGCTCTTCAATCTTCATCTACCAACAGCACCTGAGAGCCCACAAAAACCAAATTACCCATTTGGCAACACTCTTCAAAGCGAACAAAACTCAGCCTGATAAAGTCTTGAGCCATTATAGCACAGAGTCTGCTCATCAGGCTTTCGCTAAAGGTTCATAAAAACCACATGTGCAAACGAATCCAAAATCCACATTCAAACAGAAGCTTCTGAATGATGCGATGTAGCACTACATATTTAAAAGACAGGTTGACAAGGTGCTTAAGTGACCTGGTTTAGTAGTGGTAAGGTACAGTTGGACTCGATGATCTTAAAGGTCTTTTCCAACCAAATGATTCTATATGAATGAATGTTTAGGGATAAAAGATCAACATAGCATAGGTTTTAAAAGCTTTTATAGAAAGAGCTTAAGATTAACTTGAAGTATGAATGTTTCTTAAATTCCATTTCATTAAATTTTGCACTCATTAAAAAAAACAAAAGATATTTTTACCATGGTTCAAGTGAAACAAAAAAAGGTTGGAATTTCCAATTTCCTCTCCTTTTTCAAGAAAGGAAAAGGGCAAGAAAAGGTGCACGTAGAATAGGGGGATGCGTGCGCAAACATGCTTTCTTTTTTGATTTGGGCATGGCAAGATCAAGAAAAGAACCATTAAAACCATGAAGAAAAGAAGATAAACACAAGTGCTCAGCTGGTTTGTCCCCAACTGTGTACCCAGACAAAACTCCCAGGAAAGAAGGGGAATTGCCTGCCAAAACAGCACTTTTTTTTTCAAAAACAAAAGAGCAGGATGCCTGAGAAAGAGTGGAAAGGTCAAGAAGAGGGTTCAGAAAAACGTAATCCAGCTGCACACTTCCATTCGGATCCACTGGTGACTGCATCACCTGTCCGCGTGACCAGGAACTCCTGCCGGTAAGAATAAACCCACTCTGCCATGTTTCAGGGATATTATGCAACCAAAACCTTGCACTTTTAAGTTCTTAATTAGTTTTGCTTTGATTTTAATTAAGTTATCTTCGTTACAAGAGCTTAAGAACTCAGAACTTTTTTTTTTTTTTTTACCCCCCCTCTCAAAAGCATGTTTTCCATTTGGGATTTTCTTTGATCTCTCACTGAAACATGGAAGGCTTTGCAGATTAATTTCTGCAAAATTTACTCAAAAGTTGAAAAGTATATTCTGGAAGTAATTTATGATAGAGTTCATCATATGCTAAAACCTAAATTACTGTAACTGAAAGGGAGACGGGAAGAAAGAGCATGCACAGCACTTCCTACTTACCACTTTTCAGGCTTTTATATAATACTTTTTCAACCTTTTATACCTTTTGAGTTAAATCTACATTTTTAGAGTCCAGCATACAGTAAAACATTTACATTTTGGCCATGCTAAACTACAGACAAATATGCTGGTATGAGTCTTGCAAAAAAGTAAACAGGGCTTTACATTCAGAGCATGCAAAAACATTACCATATTAGAGAAACACGTCCCACCCAGTAAAGTTTCATTCACAGGATCCAAAAATCTCTGCCAAGATTTACCAGACCCTGACTCGTGCTTCTGCAGTGCAAAAGGACTTAACCAGCTGTGGGTATGTTCCCATGTATACAGCGTTCCTAAACAGGAATATATCCCTTTCATGTGTATTTATTCAGTTCCTGGCATATAAGCGATCACTTACTCAGCACTTACTAATCAACTAATTGCTTTATCTATAGGCAAAGCACATACACACGTTATCAGCCTCTAAAAGCACCGTATGTTCAGTGTATGCTATATATCCTTAAATGCCACACGCAAGCTTTTCTCAGTCTGCACATCTTCGCCCCCAGAAGGTCACAGACATCTTCTTTGGAGCCTGGTCAGTCTTCTGATTGACATCAGAGATCCTACTTCTCAGCCCATAACCTGGTCCATAAATATGCACAATGAAATTCCTTATTTACATCACCCAGCTACAAAAACTGCATTTTTCAGACTAGCTCGGTGCTGCTATAACTTATGGATCAGGCTGAGCAAATCTTCTTAGAGATCGGTATTAACAAGAAGAGTAGACACATGCACTGCTTGGAACAAATCCTGAAGTATTTTTGGAGGTGGGCAGGTGATAAGTCTAGGGACAGCCTTGTTCGTCTCATTCTTGCTCTTCCTTTGACAAAAAAAGTATTTCCATTAAGAGGGCTGACCCTGAGCCCCCTCCTGTGGATTTGAACCGGAGAAGGTTATTATTCAGCCTTAATTTGGCACACTTTATGGACAGAGAAAGCTAAGAAATATTCAGATAATGAGAAAGACCCAAATATTCCCGAGACAATTTTTACCTATCAGCAAAGGGTCACACAATAATACGTATCTCAGCAAACTACGAAATGACATGATAGTGATGTTCTCTAATGACACAAAAATACTACAGAATAGCCAGGTGCCTTCTTTAATACAATAGAGAGATACTAATAGAAAAAACATTACCTGTAATCTTGTCATTTGCCAATCCCTACTCCAAGTAGCCCGATATAGAATGGAAGTTGGAGTCCCAACAAGCTGACTACCATCCAGTTCTTCACCATTATCTTTTACCTCCTTGAGAACTGGAGGTAGCATGCCAGGATGGAAGGTCAAAGTGACCATCACTCGTCCCTCTGCGTATGAAGAATGACAGGCCCCAGAACAAGTCAATGACGTGCCCTTCCAGCTGCTGACAGCGAGACGGTGCCAGGGTGAACATGAGCAAAAATGCTCTCATTTGTGGAAAGCCCTCAAAGGCTTTCACTGAACAAGAAGTCTCTTTCCCATGACGCAGAACAAAATGTCTTCGAATAAACTATTTATATGGAATATGAAAGCCTCTCTATCTTGGTCTGTATTATCATAATGTGTTTGTAATACTATCATTTCATTTGCTCTGGTGTAAACCTCCTTGTCAGGAGGAAATGGTTGCAACAGAAGACTTAAAAAAAAAATTACATAAATAAAAAATGAGTCTTTATAAGGAATTGTGAGGATCTCGGCAGGAACCTTCACAGGACACCCAAGAGCTCATATATGAAGCACATATTGTCCTTCCTAGTCCAAGTATACACACCTTGATAAGCACCACAAACTTTCTCATGCAAAAGAAATTCTAGGAGAGATGACTTGCATAATACATTTGTCTGTACACATACATGCTTGCTGCTTCTTCAGGAAGGTCAATGGAGAAGAGTCTAAGGCTTTCAGCTACTCCCAGGATCAAATCTCATAAAGGTCTGACAGACAAACTCCTGAAAAGCAGATGAAATGAGCAGAAGGATTGGGACTAAGAACAAGTCACCCTGAGACGATTTCAAACCCAGTTTGACGCAGTGTGCCCCTTACTGTGCCTCTAAGCAGGAGTTCAAATGAATCTTTTTCATCTACCATGTTAGCTGTTTTAACTCAGGTATTTCCAAGTTACACTTTTTACTTTGCTAGTTGTAAAGCTTCCAAAAGTAACTGTAATGTTTTCACAGCAAAATTGCTTCTTTTTCTTAAAGTAGGATAGAAATTCCAACTTGAGACAAATTATTTAAATAAATGCCATACACAATATTTTCTCCTTTGGAAGCTGAAGACATTCATTACATAGCGTATCACAATACCTTTGATAAGTCTTCTGTTGAGCAGATGTTCTATCATTGTGAATTTTCACATACTAACAATTTTAGCAAACATCGGAAGGCAATTAACTTTGATAAATTTAATATATCAAAGGGTAATCAATGATGTCATTGTTTTAACTCAGGAATTTTATTACCATGTAAAACATAACAAAACCATTTCCTTTGAATTTTTCAAACGCTAATAGAACAGCAGCTGCCCAAGCAAGAAAGGCAAAGCACATCCTAAACTGTTGCAACGTTTGAAGACACCAGGAACATTGTGGGAATAAAAAAAATTCTGCTCTGTTTGTCATCGCTTTGAATAAAAGTTAACTTTTAAGTCTTCTTTTAAAGTGTAAGTAACTTCATCACAGAGGCATACAGTTAGGTAAGATGGAGGTAATTCAGATGATGATATAATGGCAAAACAAAGTTTACTTCAACAGAAAAAGGAACTATAACTAGCGAGTTATCTTAAAGGATGAAAAAACCTAGTGCAGTATAAAAGGAACTATACAGTGTCTGGACTGAACTGAACCATCATCTTTGCTTTCTCTTTTATTTCCCTGGGGAAGGATGTTGAGGCTTTGTT